ATGGTCTTCTTCATTATCAAGGAAGAAAAGATCATCAAATCAAACTACATGGACAAAGAATTGAACTTGGTGAAATTGAACGATGTTTACTTAACATCACATCCATCTCTGCTTGTGTTGTTGTGAAATGGAATGATGACTATTTAGTTGCTTATGTTCAATCTTCTCATATCAGTGAAGATGAATTACGTCAACATTGTCAATCTCATCTCCCACCACATATGATACCATCAATATTCATTATACTTGACAAATTACCGTTGAATCAAAATGGAAAAATAGATAGAAAACTTCTTCCTTCACCTAACTTCTCATCTATAAATCTCACGAATAGTATAGAACTATTACTACCAACGAATGATATTCAAGTTAGTATTCATCATATCTGGTGTGAGATATTCAAACTAAATCAAATCTCAACTGATACAAACATATTTACTATTGGTGGCCATTCATTACTTATCATGCAACTTTTTCATCGATACAAGATCGAATTTCATTTAGAAACAAACACTCTTTCTATTTCAAATCTATTTCAACATCCAACAATTATTCATCATGCTCAGCTCATTCAACAATCCATCAAAACCATCCACACTATGGATAAGTATTCTTGGTCTTCTTTACATCTCACTCAAGGTAAAGAAAACAATTTGTACTAGATATTATCATCACCTACATATTTATCTTTCTTTTCTCATTGTAGCTAAAGCATCATTTGCTCAAGAACGTATTTTCTTAGATGAACAAATTCGATTTTCAGCAACAAATAATAATACTAACATATATGCTATTCCACTAGCTTATCGAATTTCATGTATGAATGATCATATATCTATTTCACGATTACATCATGCATTTCAATCTATCATAAGAAAACATCAAATTCTTCGAACAGCACTCTATCTTGATACAAATGGTACTATTATTCAACATTGTTTAGATACAAATGCTATTATCAATGATGAGAAATCATCTAGATTTTCAATAATTAATCTTTCCGATGAAGAACATGAACAGAATGAAATTGTAAAGAAGATTTTAAATCAATCTGATTTATTTGATTTATCAAGAGGACATGTTATTAATTGTCATATTCTTCATCAAGATCGATCAACTCATTCATTCACTCAGAATAATAACGATCTATTGAGTAAAGAGGATCTAATATTATTTACCATTTATCATGCTTGCTTTGATGGAGCATCAGTATCAATCTTCATTCGTGATCTTACTCTTGCTTATCAATCTAATGACTTGCTTTCTATAGATGATCATTCATTACAATATATCGACTATTCTATTCAAGAACACATAATGGATATGACATTATCTCAAGAGTTTTGGCAATTAGAACTCAAAGGATGTAATCTAACACGCCAGTTACTATTACCTGTTGACCGACAACGTTCATCAACGAATCAACAACGATCAGGTTTAGCCTCTACATCTCAAATAACTTTTGATGATGACATATGCACATCATTTCTCAACTATGCATCATCACATCATCTCACACTCTTTCAACTTGGATTATCCATATTTTATGTTTTCCTATTCAAATTAACTCATGGTGAGAGTGATTTATGTATTTCTTCTATCAATGCTAATCGATACCGAAGTGAATTAGTGAATATGATAGGAATGTTTGTATCAACATTACCATATCGTGTTGAACTTGATCCTCATTGGTCATTTGATGAAGTAGTTAGATATGTACAAGAAAAATGTTTATCAATTCTTCAGCATTCTCATTATCCACTTCAACATATTCTTGCAGATTTACATCTCACTCAATCCAATGCATCATTTCTTGAGACAATGTTTGATTTTATCAATATATCAAACGAAGGTAATGATTTATGCTTGAATGGTGTCAATCTAAAACAAGTGTTGTTAAATGAATCATATGAAATAGCTAAATTTGACTTCTCATTGAACTTTATATACAATGCATCATCAGATCATAATCAGTTGTCTTATTCTTTTGTTTGCTCAAGTGGTTTGTTTGATGAGACAACTATTTCACAAATAACTCAAAGGTTTCAGTACATGTTTGAACAACTGTTTCAAACGCAATCAAGCAACATTCCTGTGATGCACTTGAGTTCATCGATTAGCAAACTGTCTCTTATTCTTCCTGATGAAGCTGAAGAAATGAAATTAGTTGTGTTTCATCGATTGGAGAATATTGTCAATGAAGGTATGAATATCTATTTTTTCTTTGATTATAGACCGGAAAAATAAAGATTCCTGTGTGCTTTTTGACATTACCAGAGAAACTAACTAAATCATGCAGTCAGTCATAAACATATAAATTTCCGTAGAACAGGTTTTCAGTTTCAAAAGATCATTGTGAGTTTACAAGTTGATATATATTACATCTATTACGCGAGCGATTATTTATATCGTACTAATATTAACAATCATAAGAAATATCATATAATATCAACTGAGAAGGTTTTTAGAAAATGGGAATTCCAAATGAATGTTGGAATAGTATAGTCGCGGTATCCTAATTTTGAAATAGTATGCACATCTTACAAATGAGGAAGATCCTTGTAGCTAATAGGTTTTGCTGTTCGGTTAGATAAGTTTTTTCTTGAAATAAGAGAGTCAGTTAAAAATATGGTGCAAACTAACGTCTTCTTTTTATTACAACATCAAATTCCATCTTTCTATCAGACATTAACTGCATTCTTCATTTTCTCATAGTTAAGTAGTTTCACAGTTAGAAAACTAATACAAGATTTTTAATAAGAATACTTTATTATGAAATTGACTAACAGAAGCTTTTTACACGTGACTGTGGTTTCTTCTGTTTCTAACAAACTTTGTTATTTCAAAGTTATTTCGAATAATTATGCAAAGTCACAACAGTACTCTAACGATTCAACGGTTTTTTTTAAGATTTGCACCTCTATTTTCAGTTTAATCTTCAAAACCAGATTTTTTTTGATCAGTGGATTCTGCAGAGAATATGCTGCTAAATGAAAACATAGGATTGGGACAGTGTTAGCTAGTTTTGAGCATTTCATTATTTAAAAGACGAAATGAAAAAATAGTACATGTCTTCACACAGAGATAAGTATACTAAAGTGCTATATATCGTGTATCACAGCACATATTGATTTCACTTGCACACAAAGAAAGTTACTAGAGATGAGAAGACAAGAGAAGAAATTAAGGCCTGTGATGTGATACCTTTGCGCCACCGCTAACAAAGTGATTAACACAGAATTACTTCAAATAGTACATGAATACATCATACCACTAACGACACCATCCACAAATACATTATTTAAAACGCTTGTCTTTCTGTTAGAAAAATAAGTTTATATTTTGGCATTAGTATCGGATTTGTATTAACATAATACAAATCTTGATAAATCTCATAACATATATATTTCCTTCCGCTTTGCTCACAAGCCTTGTGAATATTCAGCAGTTCTATACTCTTATCAGAATCATCGTTTTCTACGGAAGTATATTCAACACTGATACAAAAATCCTGAAATACTTTCTAATATCAAAGAAAAAACATTAAAATAAGTTTTAATTAATACAATTCTCAGACCAACCCAACATTCTCAATCAACTGTTTTGTTAGTTCAAATACCAATCATACGAAAAGTCTCTAAAGCACTGATATCAGATATCATTTGATCATTATTCTCTTGAATTATAATCTAAAAATCTCTCATTAATGTAGCACCAGCATCATTTGCACAAGCTCTACAATCGTATAATGAATCGATTCATTACACTCCTCACATATCACAAGCACCAATCTACAACATACCTTTTGTTTATTCTCTCGACTCACATCATACTTTATCTGCACAACATCTTCGTCATGCTCTTCAACTAATCGTTACAAAACATCAAACTCTTCGAACATCACTCATCTTTCACACAGAAATTGATCAACTCTTGCAGCAAATCGTTGATACAAACGAAAATAGTAGACAACTATTTACATTTATTGAAAGCACTTATGAAACACAACAGCAACTCAATCATATCCTGCATGAAGAAAAATATAATCATCAACTTTTTGATCTTGCTCAAGGTCTTGTCTTTCGATGTCATCTTGTTTACTACAAACAAATCTCCACAAATCATCTTCTTTCTCACAAAGATCTACTTATTTTCAACTTCCATCATGCCTTGTTTGATTTTCCATCAATGAATATCTTTCTTCATGACCTCAATCAAGCATATACGACAGGTCAATTATTATATGATGACAACACTAATCTTCGTTATCTTGATTGTAAATATAAATATTTCTTGTACTTCTCTCTTTCCTGATACATTCTTGTCTTTAATTATGTAGATGCTGTTATTGAACAAGAAACGTCGATGTCTGGTGCAAGTATGTTTTGGCTAGATGTTCTTCATCATTGTAAACTTGATCAACCTTTATCATTACCATTTGATCGATATCGTCTCTCAAATGAACATCGAACTTGTCATACAACATCTATTTCTTTTGATTTTGGCCAAGATCTCTCACATCACTTTCTTACTCATGCATCATCAAATAACATATCACTTGAACATCTCACATTTGCTATTTATTTCATCTTTCTATTTAAACTAACTAATGGGCAAACAGATCTATGTCTGTCTATGAACATTAATAACAATCGATATAGAGATGAACTCAAATCAATCATTGGATTGTTTGAGAATGTCATTCCATTACGATGTCAATTAGATGATCCTCATTGGTCTTTTCATCAATTACTCGAACATGTTCAAGAGAGAACAACAAATAGTATGAAATATTCATATTTCCCACTTCAACATATTCTCAATCAACATCCACATATTTCCAAACATGCATTTCTCGATACATCTCTGGAATTTATATCATACAAGAGCAACAATGACAATAATGCAGTGATGATTGGTGATTCTCGACTTGTGCCAGGATCTTTCTCATTCAAGATTAACGAAGATGAGATGTTAAGTACATCCGATTTCTCTCTTTCTATTTATCATGATATGAACATCAATCAACT